GTGCTGATAAACACTACAGCAGGGATAACCTTGTCATCATTGTTGTGTTGTTAAGTGCCATCCCACTCATAGTGATCCTGTATAGGGTTACTGAGGAGTAACTGATGGGCTTGAACTGCCGACCTTGCAGTTAGCAGTCCAGTGTTTATCCTACAGTGCCACACCAGGATCCCATGAAACATCTTGTGCTGAGTGAAATAAGTTAGTTACAAAAGGACAAATATTTAATTATTACATTTATACGAAATATCTAGGCTTGGCAAATGTATAGAGGCCAAAGCTTATTAGTGGTTATTAAGAGTCTGAGGGAGAAGGAAAGGGGGACTCCTGGCTTTGGAAGCACCAAGCTTCTGTTAAGGGTGATGGAAAATTTTGCAAATGGCTAGTGGTGATGGCTGTTATACAACATAAGTGAAGTCACCGAATTGTGCACATAAAAAATGTTTAAATGGCAAATGTTTTGTTATATATATTTTTTGCCACAATTGAAAAAAAAAACATATAAGCAAACAAACCATTAAAACACAGGGGGAAAAGAGAAGTTTCTTAGGCATATTCACTCCCTCTGGTGGGGTTGTGGGCTGCTAACCCTGAAGCCAGTGGTTCAAACCCACCAATTGCTCCAAGGGAGAAAGATGAGACAGTCTGCTTCCATTAAAATTCCACTCTCAGAAACCCTATATAGGGTCACTATGAGTTGGAATAAACTTGATGCGCTGAGTTTGGTTTGGTTTTTTTCCCTACTCTAGGACTTAACATTTCCTTCCCCCTGGATCATGCCTTTGAATTGGCCGCTTTTAATTGGGCTGCATTTGACATTAGGGACCAACTTTTGAAAGACCATCACAGGGCAGCCTGGAGTCTTTAATTGAGAGGTGCCACTTTGGATGGAGTATCAACCACCTCTTATCCCTCAAACTCCCCATGTATTGTTCTTGTAAATTCCAACTAACAGTGAACCTGTACAGGGTTTCCGAGGAGCTGTAGGTATGGATCTCAAAAGAAATTTCCTTTAGAACCCAGGTTCAGGGTTGGCTCTGCTTTCCCCAAGGTGGGGAAAGTTTCCTCATTTGGGATTATAAGAATCTCATACTGGATCACACTTCTCTTTTTCCTTTCCCTGCTAGGAGTCACCAATCATACACCTTGTTTTATCACATGATTATAATCCCCTCTATGTACCATCAGTTAACAGTATTTCTCTCTATTCACTTTAGCTCTTTTTTTTTTTTTTTTTTAATACTCAGGCATGTATAATAATTTATACCACCAAAGGGCACATTCTGCAAGTCTGTCTCCTGGTCACCATCACTCAGTCCCTCTCTTCCCATAAATCTAGAGTCCTCAGCTGCTCCCCTTCTCTATGTCCCTATCTCTGGTATGGCTGCTGCTGTAGATGAGGTATCGCATTCTGCTTGTGCTCTTCTTCCTTGGTGGTCCTAGGGTCCTCTGTTTCTGGACTGTAAGATTAAACACTCCCCTTTTTTTGTTATAAAACTTCTACCTTTACATTTGTGACAGTTGCAATTAGTCATGATAACAATTATTCACTATTGAATCTTATGAATCTTATCACCATCTCTTTTCAGCAGACTCATCTAGACAAGATGGCAGCTATTCAGTGGGGACTCTTTCTTTCCTCCCATACTCTTAAACTAAACTCCGCCTTGAAACCTTGTAAACCAGTCACTTTGTGCCTTTATTGCCCCCTCATTTTAGGTAGCCAATGTCTGAGTTGTCCATTCCATAGGGTTTTCAAGGACTGATTTTACAGTACATCATCAGATTCTTCTTCCGAGGTACATGTGAGTGGACTCAAACCTCCAATCTTCCAGTCAGCAGCCAAGTATTTTAACCTATTGTACCACCCAGGGACTCAGTCTGCCCCCAGCCCTTCTGAACAGGAGCGGCCTTTTGGTGAAGTCCCAGGGATCCGTGTGCACACTGAAGTCACCCTCTCTCACTCTTTACCAGTCTAGGACTTTCCCTAAATGCAAATCACCAAGAGCAGCACAGTCAGCTGCTTGAGAGGGAAGAGGCCACTGGACAGGGCCTGGAGTCTGACCCCTAGCTATTTCTGACTCCTTGTCATACCCAGCCATCCTCGATGTCCCCTCAGCTCATAGAGACAAGGTTGAAACAAATGTCAAGGTCAGAAAAGAAGTAATAACAGACCCCACCTGTCAACCATCAGAGCTAAAGGGCTACCCATCACTCTGTCCCCAGCTTCCTGTACTCACGCCTGTCTGGAGGATTCTCTGGTTCCGGAGGAGAGGGTGAGGACTGTCTCTGTCCTCCTGTGGGTCAATGAGAACAGAGGACTGGGTGAATCAGTGACTGGGTGACCCTACTAACCAACAATGAGAACACAGAAGAAGGAAACTGGCATTGCTGGGGTGCCCGGGTCCTCGCCCTGGCCCTGCCTCATCCTATCCTGTGATCATGAGTAGCTGACCCTCACGGATGACCTCAGCTCTCTTGTCTGCACAATTGTGAGAGTGATAGTGATCAATGCTGGTCTATCTCCTTCACAAGGGTGCTGGTAAGACCCCGTGAGCAGGGAGATAGGACTGCTTCCAGTAGTGGGACCTGACACACCTACAAGCATGGGAGGTGGACAAAGTCAAGTGAATGTCAGGCATCTATCTGTGCATTGTTGCCGACAAGGGGCCACTATGTCCCTATGCTTGTAGGATTCTGACAGCTCTGACCCAAGGCCACAGCCCAGGATGATGGAGAAGGAGCACAGGGAGGACCACCCTCTCAGCTGGTTCTTTCTCCTGTCATTGTGGTGGAGGTGGTAGCCCAGGTCTCCATCTGGGCTTTCAGGGAGGCTCAACAGGACAGGGAGTCTTTCAACATTAGTAATATAGTAACAGACACAGACACCCATGGTCTGTGTGTGGGCCCTGCATGTTACAATTTGCAAGGTGTTTTCCCACCCATCCTTAGTTCTTCCTACCCACTCTGTGAAGGTGGGTTGGGTTACTGTTTTCTGTTTACAGATGAGGGAACTGGACACCTGGGAGGCTAAGGGACTATCTGACAACACTCAGCTCATGAGAGGCTCTTCAATGTTCACTTATCTTCATGTTCTTTCTGTCTCTGTCCATACACATGGTCAAGTCTGATAAGGCCTTCCATGTGTCAGGCTTTGTGCTCAAGGAGCTTAGGGCTTGTGGTGGAAGAAAGAAAACCTTCCAGGTAACCTCTGTCCTAAATTCAAAGCATACGCAGAAGGGGAGTGCATGGGTGTTGCACACAGCTAATGTGCTCATCTTTTAACTGAAAGTTGGAAGTCTGAGCCCATCCAGAGTATCCTTGGAAGAAATGCCTAGTGAAAAGTCAGTCATTGCCAACCCTGTGCAGTACAGTTCTACTCTCATATACAGGTTTCAATTGTCCACCTAGAAATTATTGATAGTTGTTTAAAATATGCACAACAGAACATATACTAACTCAACAATTTCTACATGTGTAGGGAGCTCAGGGTTTGAGGTAAAAGAGAACCTTCTACATCGCCTCTGCCCTAAATTCAAAGACAATACAGAGAGAGAGAGAGTCCTTGGACTCAAGACTATAGACATTTGATGCTCTTCAAATATGGAACTGAACTCCCCACATGGATCAACTGTCAGCCCAACAATGTTGTTGTTGTTGTTGTTGTTAAGTGCCATGGAGTTGGTTCTGACTCACAGCAACTCTTTACAGCATGGGTCTGAGGAGCTTGAACTGCCCAACTTGTGGTTCAAACCATCCTTGCAGTTCAGTGCATTAACCTGCAGCACCACACCATAGACAGGCCAATAAGGTTAGCAAAAACACCAGGGAGGAATGCATTCCTTAGAATAATCACACAAGTGTCTCCTGCTACCTTCATCTTTCCTCTGCCAACTCCTGTTAGAACAACCAGACTAAATACATGCAAATTTTGAAACCATAATGAAAAATAAAAGAGAGAACAATCAAATAAAAGGGAAGCATTTGCCAGGGGAGAAGGCTCAGAAGGCAGGAGCGGTCAGGAAAGAAGGACAAATGGAAATGGGAAACACAGGGAAGAAGTGGAAAGAATGCTGTTGAATTGTGAGGATTGTAATCCATATCACAAAACCAAATGTGAATGAATTGTTGAATGGAAAACTGATTTGCTCTGCACATTTTTACTTAAAGCACAATAAAAAGCTGCAGAAGAAGAAGAGGAGGAGGAAGAAGGGAAGTGAATGAATGGTGTGAAGGGTTAACACCAGGCCTTTCTTTCAAGGAGACTTTGAGTGGGCTCAAACGTCCAACTTGTGTGTTAGCAGAAGAATATGCTAAGTGTTTGCTCATCCTTAGTCTCAGCAGAAGAAGGTCCAGTGATCGACTTCTGAAAAATCACTCATTGCCAACTCTGTGCTTGTAGTTCAACTCTGCATACAGGCATCACCCGAAGTCAGAATTGATTCAATGACAACCACCACCAACAAAAGCCAAGTTAGGGAGGTTGGCCAAATTTGAGAAAGAACAGAGATGAAGGAGATAGGAAATTGGAAGACAACTGACTCGGGGTACCTGAATCAGATGGCAAATTTAGGGGAGAAAAAAATGTCAGCGAAAGAGACCACCCTCTCCATGGACCTAATGGAAGCCCTAATTGAGAGATTTAAGTCGCTCTGGGCAAGGCACTAGAAGCAATGGTGAGGAATCTGAGCCATCTCAGGAGATGGGAAGATAGGGAGATATGTATCTCATATCCCAATAGATTGGGGAGTGGTACCAGGATACCAGAGGGCTTTTACCTTCTTCAGGGAAGGATTAGATGATCAGATGTTACCATCGATCCAGATTACCATCAGTGTGACCAGCATCTCCTGTTCTACAGGGAGATATAAGCAGGTAGAAAGCCCCAGGAATATCAAGACAGAGTTAGAGGGAAACAGAGACGGTGACAGAGCCGTAGGTGACACTCAGCGTATCCAGTGTATCCTGAGCCTCGAATTGTCATCCCTGCTGTCCTGATCATGGTGCCTCTCTCCTGGCTCCCAGGAATCCTGTCACTGCTGCTTGCTCTGAACCTGAAATATGGGGCAGGGAACCCGATTTCCGTTGGTGAGGATGATGCCCCCTGCACCACGGCGTATCCGTGTCCCAGCAACGTCATGAGCCAGGTCAAGAATCAATTGATGCTACTCCACAACAATGCTGACCATCTCCTAAAACTTTATGTAAGTTAACCCTCCGTATCCACAGGGACCAAGGAGAGAGTGGGTGGGCCTGAGATAACAGCAGTGGGCAGAATTTTGCAGATATCAGTACAAGTTTTACTGACCTGGGCTGGTCAGAGAAGGGATCTTTTTGGAGCTGAAATGAAAGAAGGGGGAGATTGGTTAAACTACACCCAGCTCTCCCCCGATCCCTCCAGCTCAGATTGGGATAAACTTTCTCAAGGCTAGGTCAGAAAAGAGCTAGGATGAGGACGTATGGGTGCTGACTCTTCCGATTTGGGGATTTCTCTACCATATGGATCGAGAGATGGAGATACAGAAAGGAGGGAAAAAGCAGGAAGATATACAGAGAGGTGTTGTTGGTTGAGACAGTGGGCGGGAGGCATCTGGGTGCAGAGAGATGCCCAGGTAGGTGTAAGTGCAAATGTGTGTGGCACAGCTCTGAAGGTGAGGCACCCAGGTTTTCTTTCTTTCTCTATATGATCATGTTAATTTAAACAATAACAACAAAACAAGTTGTGGTTGAGTTGACACAATCTCATTTTGAGCCCAGATGTGTCAGAGTAGATCTGTACTCTATAGGTTTTGCAATGATTGTATTATTTTATTTTATTTTTTTGGAAGTAGATTGCCAGACCTCTCTTATGATGCACCTCTGGATGGACTCGCCCTTTCACTCTTGCGATTAGCAGCTGAATATGCTAATGCATTGACCCTTTGCATCACTCCTAATACAATTCATTACTAAGTAATAATAAGGATACTTGCAAAGTAAGGCTTTGATTCTTGAACAAGTACATTCATGCCCAGTGTTTCATTTGCCTTTCATGGTGATGATCCTAAGATGTGTACAGGGTCCTCACGCCGTAAGTTTGGAAACTGAGGCCCAAGAGCTTGGCTCAGGGTGGGTGGCAAGGCTAGAACAGTGACCCCTTACTTCCTAGCTCAATTTCCTTCTTCTCTGTGTTCCTCAGTACACAGCCCAGGGAGAGCCTTTCCAAAGCAGTGCGGACAAGCTGTGCAGTTGGTATCCTCCGACTTTCCCACCCTTCTACCCCAACGGCATAGAGAAGGATAAGGTGATGCAGCTGTACCATATCATTATGTACCTTGATGCAGCTGTCGGCCAAATCATACAGAAGCAGAAGATACTCAACCCCACTGAGCAGGACCTTCACAACCAGTTGAGCTCCACGTTGGACATTCTGCGTGGGACCATCAGCAACGTGCTTTGTCATCTCTGCAACACATACAAAGTGGGCAAAGTGGAGGTGTCCACCTGCATTGATGTCCTGGACGACAACTTCCTGACTAAGCAGCAGGGCTGTCAGCTCCTAGTAAAGTACAAGACAGTCATGGCTGAGCTGGTCCAGGCCTTCTAGGCACAAGGTATTGAAGTATTCTGTGGTTCAAGGGGTCTTGGCAATTGGACTATGTGTGTTAAGAGTCATCTCTAAACCCAAGTGGGTATGGTGGCAGAACCTGAGGGCTTCCATGACAGTCCATTCCACTTCAGGGTGGGCTGGCATGTGACTGAACAGGGGCAAAACTTTTACAGGCAGGGCCTCAACACTGCACCACTAGAAGGTGGTTCTCCTTCCTCTGGAAGATGGTGGCCTGGCACCAAGGTGTCAGGCTGGCCAGTGGAGTGTGAGCTGGACTCTTGCCCCACCTGACTCTTGAGCATTGTTTTGGGCAGTGAGCAAACAAGTTGTCTCCAGTGGCCCTGACCTCAGGCCATGAGAACAGCTGAGAGGCCCTGGAGCTGTACTGATCCAGAGCCCTCCCCAATGATGATTCTGCACAGTAGGCAGCTCCTTGGGTATCCCAAACACCACTGAGGACTTGAGTGTCTGGCTGAGGGCCCATGAACTTTGGATAGTGTGGGGGAGATGCTGCTCCCTCCTCTGTAGAAGGGGCAGGAGCCCACCCCCAAACTCAGATCAGGAAGCTGTTGTCCCTTCCAGCCCTATCTCCTACACACCCCCAAAAGTTCTAGGCTGCAAGGCAGGGAGCCCTATCCTTTCCTTTGAGTTGTTGGCCAAACATGTCTAGAAATAACCACCAGTCTGGGAGCTGGGGCAGCTACTGAGAAGAGTGTTTTGGTTTCTTCTCAAATCCTCAGCAGGTGGGCGGTGGTCCTAGCAGCACAATGGGATTATGATGCTTTGTACTTACCTTGTCCCTTTCCCTGTCCTTCTCTCAACACTTTATCCAAGCCTACCAGTTGGCAGCAGGCAAGCCCCATGAATGAGTCTGGAGCAAGGAGTTACCTGTTTCTTGGTATGACTAGGATGTGAAGATTCAGTGCTGAGTTCACGGGCCACACTCATCTTTGTCCAGGATCTCAACCTGCTGCCCTTCCCATCTCTCTGCTCTGTCGGTGGACTGCTCCAAGCTGAGCTACAAGAAAGTCAAACTCATTTGAAAGCCTGAATTGGTTGACTCCAGAGCCCAGTGCCTCAGCAGGATCTCCCAACATCTCATCACCTTGTGGACACACCTGTGTTGGGTACAGCTGGGCAGTCTTCCTTCCTGAGTTTCCCCTGGACTCCCCCACTGCCCACTATCCTTCCATGCCAGTGTCCTCTGCATTGATGTCCTTCCATGCTAGTCCAGATTCTACTCCCGACTCCTAGACTCTTTCCTTGTCTTTCTATGCCAACCCGAATTCTATCTCCTGCCCCCTCAACTCTCTCACCATGCAGGTCCCCTCCACTCCACCTCTGATTTTATCCTTTCAGTCCTTGTCCACAGTGCTCTTTCTGGAACCCACCTGGCAGGTCAGCATCCCCAGCACACAACATCCTGAATTACTAAGACTGTATCAAAGAGCTGTTCTTTTCTCATTGTCTTCTGTGATCATTGGCCCGCTCTTATATCTTGGGTCATGCGCTAAGACCAAAGATGCTATTACAGAGGAATAAGAGCTCTCAGCACAGGAGGGCATAAGACAGCCATTTTTCAGTCATATATTAAAAAACCTTAAACAAAAATACGCTGTCAGTTTGGAGTTTCTTCTTCCCTTCCTGTGCCTGCTTCCCTTTCTCTCCTTTAATCACTATGGGGGTGACTTCTATGATAGAGGAAACCCAGCCATGCTGGCTGTCCTTCCACAATAGATATGTGGGATTGTTGTTGTTGTTAAGTGCCATTGAGTCGGTTTTGACCCATAGCGACCCTGAACAGGGTTTCTGAGGCTGTAAATCTTTACGGGAGCAGAGCCTCATCTTTCTCCTGCGGAACAGCTGGTAGTTTCGAACTGCTGACCTTGCGGTTCGCAGCCCGATTCATAACCACTAATTGGAGCCTGGGAAATAAGAAAGGTAGTAATTTATCTTTAAATATATCCTTGTTCCTGGGTGGAATCCAAGAACTGTTGTTGTTAGGTGTCATCCAGTCCACTTGATTTTATAGCAACCCCATGGGTAGAGTAGAACTGCCTCCTCATAGGATTTCCTATATGTAATCTTTATAGGTACATAATGCCAGGTCTTTTGCCTTCAGAGCCGCTGTTGTTAATTGCCGTCAAGGCCTTCCGATTCATAGCAACCCTGTATATGGGGTTTCCAAGGAGTGATTGTTGAGTTTGAACCACCAACCTTGAGGTTCAAACCAACTTTTCAGTTCTGCGTTTATCCTATAGTGCCACACCAGGACTCCTTCAGAACTACTGGTGGCTTCAAATCATCAACAGTAGAGCCGTTAACCTTTGCAACTTCAGGGCTCCTTGCCAAAGCTTTAGTGATTTTTTTATTATTCGTATTTGTTTTGTTTTTACAACCTCTAGGCTATTCTAATATGAAGCAAGAATTTAAAGTCACTGAGTTAGAATGTTGTTGTTAACTGCCATCAATTTGGTCCCCAACTCATGGTGACCCTTGTGTTACCCAGTAGAATTGTTCCCTAGGTTGTAATCTTTACAACTCCTGGTGTGGCACTGTAGGATAAGCATTGGACTGAGAACTACAAGGTCAGTGGTTAAAATCCACTGCTGCATCTTGGAAGCCCCTATACAGGTGGCTATGAGTCAGGACTGACTTGATAGCTCTTAACAACAACAATCTTTATGGAAATAGATCACCAGACATTTCTTTCTGTGAAGTGGCTGGGTAGGTTTGAACTACCAAATGTTAATGGGTTATCAGTCCTTTGCAAACCACTTGCAGACTCAGATTCTTTTAAAAGGCACAGATGTTCTTCCTTTAGAATCATTTCCAATCCCTGCCCCTTTCACCCCTAGCCTCCCATGCATACTGCTAACTTAGTGGGACCCACCTTGTGGCCTTGTTCTTATATGCTCTCCAACCTCCCTTTACACTGGAAAAGACTTCATTTTGGGTGATAAATTCCTGGGGAGTGTTTCATACTGGCAGTCAATCTTTTATGTATTCAATGTCATATTTTAAATATTTATTTTTGTACTGAACGAATACTTTTTTTCAAGAGAAAAGATAAATTGATAATGAATCTGCTCTTGGCATGTTGTAAAGGCATACTGAAGGGTCTGTTGATGAGAGAGATGGGCTGAACAGCTGGGATCATTGTTGCCTGAGTGCGCCATCTAGTGGGACTATGCTGTGCGGGAGAGTGGGAAAAGGCACCTCTACAGAACCAGGGTGCTGATGGGAGCTGAGGCAGGAGGGGGCAGAGTTTGGGTGGAACAAACTCACAGGTAGAACCAATGAGGTGAGTGGTATTCAGATCATGGGGTGCTGTCAAGAAAAGAGGGCGGGTTGCTCAGAGTGGAGGGATTCCAGGGTTCGAAATAGGAGAAGGATTTGAAGTGTGTGGCTAATATTCTTCATGAATAATTGCCTCCTTTGCCATTTGAAACTGAGGTCAGAATAACTGGGCAAAGTCCAGATAGTATTACTGAACATGTCCATGAAATTGTCCAAACAATATTGATCAAAAGGGGTAAAACTGCAGAATTATATTTTAAGCTATAAGAAACTCCAGATATCTTGGGGCCGTGAAGATTGGATGAATTCCTGAAATTATTGCCCTGAAATAACCTTTAAACCCTAAATAAGAATACATCCCCACTAGGACCATCAAGGGAGAAGAGCAAAAACAGAATGCGGGACCCTATCCAGAGAAGCAGTGACACCAGAGATAGAGGCAGAGATGGGGACATGGAAAGAGGGAGCAGCTGAGGACTCTAGATTCATGAAATTAGAGGGACTGAGTGCTGGCGGCCAGGAGGCAGGCTTGCAGAATGTGTCCTTTGGTGGTTCAAACGATTATATATGTCTTGAGTGTTAAAAAAAAAAAAAAAAAAGAGCTAAAGTGAATAGAGAAAAATACTGTTAACTGATGGTACCTGGTGGGGATTATAATCATTGTAATGAAACAAAGTATATGGTTTGTTGATTGTACAACTGATGATCTGCCCTGTTAATTTTCACTCAAATCACAATAAAAACTTAAAAAAAAAAAAATCCCCTGAACTGTCCTTAAAACCAAATAGTCATATAACTTAATTAATAATCAAAAAAATCCATCTTAAACATTAGGCTCCTTCAGGAACTATTTATTTGGGATCCAACAGAAAATGGAAAGATTACATAACATCCTTAAGTAACAGTAAATTGATGTTAACAGGAAACGTGAGAATGATTGCTAAACTCAGAATGTAACCAATGTCATTAATGGCACTGTAGAAACTTGGATTGGTGTGTGTTTTGCTGTGCATGTACACAAAAATAACAACAAAATAAGGGAAATTATTTTTCATGGGGGGATTATTTGATGTCTAACCCAGTCAGCTTGTTTACCTGCAGCCCCTCACATAACTCCCATAGCATATGAGGTGATGAAAATACCATGACCTGAGGCAGACACACCTTAGTCCTCAAAGTGACATTTTTGTTCTTTAACAGGACTGGGACTAGGGTGAGGCAAGCAAGATATTGAAGGACCACAATTCAGAGTCATGTGCTCTGGCACTTGAGAGGCTTGCCTTCTTGAATTGTCTTCAAGGCTCATTGCTTGCCTCATGCTAGTCCTGGTTCCGATGTTCAGTTTGTACATATTTATTGAGCTGTGTCATTGTGAGGTTTGTATTTTTATGCATTGTTGTTGGTAAGTGTCATTGGTTCAGTTCCAACTCACAGTGAACCTATGTACAACAAAATGAAGCATTGCCTGGTCCTACACCATTCTCAAAATTATTACTTTGAGTCCAGTGTTGCAGCCATTGTGTTAATACAACTTGTTGAAGGTATTCTTCTTTTTTTTGCTGACCTTCTCTTTTACCAAGTATGGCGCTCTTCTCCAAGGACTGGTCCCTCCTGATAATATGTCCAAAGTACATGAGAGGAAATTCTTGCCATCCTGTTACTAGGCTTTGTGAACATTGGTTTTCCATAGTAGTAGT